CTCCAGCCCGCCACGGCGCGCTGCAGCTCCGCCGCGCGCGCCGTCAGCCTGCCCAGGTCCCCGTCGGTGTCCTCGCGGGGGGGGGGGGGGAGGAAGGGAGAGGGAGGGAGGGAGGGGGGGGGAGGGAGGGGGAAGGGAGGGAGGGAGGGAGGGGGGAGGATGGAGGAGGAGGAGGAGGAGAGGAGGAGGAGGGAGGAGGAGGAGAGAGGAGGGGAGGGAGAAAAAAGGAGGAGGAGGAGGAGAGGAGGAGAGGAGGAGGGGGGAGGAGAGGGGACGAGGGAGGGAGGAGGGGGAGGGAGGGGGAGGAGGAGGGGGCCAAGCCCACTCGAGCAGCGAAGAAAAAACCACGGCGGGAGGCTTCCAGCCGGTTTCGGCCTCCAAGGGCCACGGGCCCCCAGACCGGGGAAAATCAGCTCGGGACGAGAAGCCAGTCGTGGGGGATGGGTCGAGACCTCCAGGGGCCCGCACTGTGAAGAAAGCATGACGTCGTGGGGCTGGGGGGATGGGGGGGAAGGGAAGAGGGGAAGAGGGGAAGGAGCAGGCAGGAAAAGGAAGGGGGAAGGGCCCCATCTCTGGCCTCCGGATCATCCCCCTTCCAAACCTCTGTGCTTACCTTGGATGTGTCGCCCCTCCCCCCAGGTGCGCAGGCCGCCAGGGTAAGGGGCTTGGCATTCTGACCTCTAGACCCACTGCCATCAGCTACGAGCTCAAACTGGAAAAAACAAGGAGGAGGAGGAGATGGATTAACGGAGAGGAAAGGAGGGGTAAAGGGGGAAGAGGAGACAAAAAGGGGGAAGGAAGAAGTTCCCCGTCGGGAGGAGGGTGAAGGGAGGAAGAAGGGGGGAGGGAGGATGACTCAGGAAGAAGCGATTACATTAACATACATGAACGCAGGTCCGTATGGATTCCTTGGCACGGCGCTGAGCACCCTGGCGGCGCCTCTGGCGCCGCCCCTGGCAAGCTTCGCACGTCAAGGATGCGAATCCAGTGGCGATCGAAGATATACGCATGGACCTCAGCCATGCTAGTTGTATGCAGCTGCCTCTTCGAACTATATGCTGTAGGACTAAAGGGCTGCAGAACACCGCAAATCCCCAAGGCGTGCCTCGCCAACACCCCCCACGAGAGTACACTGAACACTCGGGGATCGGGGTCAAGACATTCCAGCATTCGAAGATAACCGCCGACCATGAAGGGGTCATGGAGGGACGAGGGAGGGAACGAGGGAGGAGGGGGGAGAAGGGGAAGGAGGGAGGAGGGACGAGCGAGGGAGGAACGATGGAGGAAGGAGGAAGGGGGAGATAGGAGGGAAGGAGGAAGGGGGGGGAGGAGTAGGAAGGGAAGGGCTAAATGCCCAGGGTGCCTGGGTTCTGCGCGGTGCCCGCGCGACGGCTGCGCGAGGGATTCTTGCCACGGCCCTGCCCTCTGGGCGCTGGCGCCGACGCCTGCGGAAGGTGTCCTCGGCTTCTGCGGCGAGGCCTCCGAACGCTGCACCGACAACATCCCCACGACTTTGAAGACGTGGGCATGCTGGGACGCACAAAGACATACTAATACTAGATGTTATCCTTGGAGGCGCGCGTCCGACCCGAACGTAGAGTATACGCATCTTGTAGATCGTTTCCCGAGCGGTGTGGCCAGAAAGCGCCCGCCACGACGCATACTGGGGGGGCGACGCACACATGATATCAGTATGTTGGGGTGACGCCGACCTCAAGGGCGGCAGCCTCACCAAGGCCAGCGTGGCTCAGCGCAGCCTGAGCAGCCTGATGGAGGCTGGGCCCCCGTGCAGCCTGGGCAGGAAAAGACACGACACACACGGCCACCACAGCCACGACGGTCACGACAGCAAGATGACTGGGGCAGCGGCCTCTGCTCGAGCCAAAGTGCGACTGGCTCAGAAGGATGAGACGGATGAGCGGTGAGGATGCCAGGCCCTTGGACGCCCACATTGACGCCGAACTTGGGAGCCCTGGCTTGGCCCATGGCTGAGAACCACGGGCTATGATGGGCCAAGAGGCAAGGATGCAAGGACAACCTTAGACAACTCCTCAATCCGAATGTGCGGCTTGGCTGTACCGCGGAGGCTGGAAGAACGACGACTGCGACTACGACGACATCCACGGCCCCTGCGACGCCTGCAGCACTACCAGCGCCCGCCAAGCCCCCAGCCCCAGCACCGACCAGCCCAGGGTCGACGCCCACGCCGACGCCCTCTGTGAGGTGGACGGCGATGAGGGCATGGATCCGCGGCGCGCCGAGAGGGGAAGAGGCAGAGGGGGCGGGCCTCCTCGAAGGCGGCGGGCCTTCTCGGAGGCGCCTCCTCGAAGGCGGCGGGCCTTCTCAGAGGCCCTCCAGCCTTGTGGGAAGCCCCCTTCGGCCTCACGGGAGGCTCGGAAGACTCCTCGGACTCTCACGAGACCGGGGGCCTCCCGAGCCTCCTGCCGAGGCCTCCCCCCTGGGCGCACCGCCGAGGGCTGGGCCTGGCCACGACCGCAGCGCCGTCGACTGCAGGCACGTGGCCGCCCAGGCTGCGCCGGGAGCGCAGCCGCTGCTCGGACGGTGGACGCGCGGCCGCCGACGGGGCGGAGGACCCCACGACAGGCGAGCCCAGGGTCGAATCGATGCGTCCGATGGGCGATCGGAACGAATCGGATCGGCGGGAATCGGCAGCCAAGTCGGGAGAAGTCGAATCGGCAGAGATCGGCGGGCCAGTAGGCCTCCGTTGAGAAGTCGGGGCCCAAGTCCGAATCTGAAATCGAATCGAATCGGAATCGGAAGCTATCGAACTCGGATCGAATCGAGTCGGAGAAATCGAAACGAGCACTGCTGCCAAGATGCCGCTCGCCGCCATCACTACGGCGGGCACACACCCAAAATGCCCACCCCCGCCAACGACCACCAGGACGGCGGCGGCCACCGCGAGGCGGGCTGCTGCGGCCACGCCCTCGCCAGCCAACACAACCACGACCAGCGGCAGCGCGCGCCCCACTGTGCCACCTGCAGGGGCCTTGTCTTCTTGGCCGATTCCAGCGCTGGCCGTAAAGCCGACACCAGCGCCGACCATGTCGGCCCGGGCACCGCCCACCACGGCGGCCGCAAGACAGACCAGGCCGAGCAAGAAGAGGAGAAGGAGGAGGAGGAGGAGGAGAAGAGAATGCCAGGACAGGACAACATCGGTGGCGGGACGCTGGCGGAGTGGAGCGCCAGGACTCTGAGGAGGGGACGTTGCTAGAGAATCCGAGGAGGAGACCACGCGACGGAGCATCGCCCGCCCGTCGACTCCGATGCTGACCAGCAAGTCGGCTCCAGCGCCAGCAGTGCCCAGTCCGCTGAGGAAACGCGGTTCTCCTGCCTGGCCCCAATCCGTTCAAGATCAATCCCCTGACCCCACCAGGCATCCGTGCTGACCCCTTGTTCGGCGCGGATCCAGCCGTAGCGACGAGCAGCCCCCTGGAGGCTCCAAAATTATGAAAACGCCAAAACGGGCCGCCCCTGTCTCGACTGGCCCTCGACCGGGTCGGGCGGTAGCCCATCCCGGCGGTGCGACGCACCGAACCGTGCAGGGTGACTTGCACCCGCCAGCCCGACGACGCTGGCGCCCCTCAACTCGCCGACCTCCACACGCCGACCTCTGGGCCGACTCCTGCGCCGCCCAGCTCACCAACTCCCGCGCCAGTCACCCCCTCACGACCCCAGCATCGACCACGTCCCCGACACTGAAGCCGACCAATCAACGAATCAACCAACTCCATCACAAGCCAGTATGCCGACCTGCACGTCGACTCCCGCGCCCACCACTTCGTCGACCGCCACGCCGACCAATTCGACAGGAGAGAGCTCCTCGTCCTTCTCCTCCTGACCCTAATCCCTCCCTTCCTGTCACCATCCGAATCAATCCATATCGAAGAGCAGGCGAAGGAAAAAGAGAAAGAAGGGGAACGAGGGGCGGTGGAGAGGAAGGAGGAGGAGGAAAGATGAGGACGAAGCGAGGAGGGTTTGCACAAAGAGGGGGACAGCCATGACGGCGGCGACCACCTCCACCACCACGACAGCACCGAAGCGAACAGGCAGACACCTTCTCAAGTGGAGACCACCACGGCCGCATCGGCGACGACGAAAAACGACAAAGATCACCACCGACACCACCACCACCACCACCACCGCCTGCACTTGCCGTCGCTCGGACGTCCATGTCCCGTGCATTTCTCGGCTTCGTGCGTGTTTTTGTTTTGCTCGATGGCCCAGGATGCTCCTCGATGGTTCTCGCCGAGAAAAGATGCACACGTCCGAGCGATGCCAATCGCACGCCGAAGGCCCGCAGACCTGTCCCGCGGTGCTCCCGGACCAGCCGTGACCACGCGTGCGCCACGGAGAAAGCCGCCCAAGAGCGCCTCGGAGCCGGCTCCTCGACCGGCGACCCTCGCGACGACGGGGAAGACGACCAGGGTTAGGTTTAAGTCGGGCCTGTCCCCCTACAGGGGGATTTTCGACGAAAAATAAAAAAATACCCCAAAAATAATAAAAACATAGTCCTAAGATAGTCTGGGGACTATGTTTGAGTATTTTGGACCATTTGGGGGTATCTTTTCGTATATTACATTTTTCGTCGAAAATCCCCCTGTAGGGGGACACGCCCGACTTGTAAGGTTAGGTCGGGCATGTTAAGGGACGTGAGAACGATCACAGGCACTGCTTTTCTTTTGCTGCCGCCCTCCAGCACGCAGAAACAGAGCAGCTGCTGTGGCCATTTTCGTTGAGCTTTTGGCACCAGGGAGATGACCACAACCAGTGCTTCTTTTTTTGGCCGGCTGGAAGGCGGCGCAAACAAGAAGCAGTGGCTGTGGTCATGTTCCCGTCCCGCACATGTCCTCCCACAGCCAGATTCGGGAAGGAAACTCACACATACTCTAAAACTTGTCAAACATAAGGAAAAAGAGCGCGGAGCATCGGAGCCAGACTATTTAGTATTCTCGAATTTTCCTCCTGTAGAAGGACATGCCCGATTTACGCCCACGGCGGCCCCGCGATGGCCTAGAAGGCACAAAAGCCTGCCTAAGACGGCCAAGAGGGGCCCAACCGGGCTCAGGACAGCACGAAGGGGGCCCCAGAGAAGCATCCCTCCTCCTCTTCCTCCTCCTCCTCCTCCTCCTCCTCCTCCTCCTCGTCCTCCTCCTCCTCCGCGTCCTCCTCCTCCTCCTCCTCCCTCCTCCTCCCTCCTCCTCTTTCTCCTCCCTCCTCCTCTTCCTCCTCTTCCCTCCTCCTCCCTCCTCCTGCTCATTCTCCTCCTCCTCCTCCTCCTCCTCCTCTCCTCGTCCTCTTCCTCCTCCTCCTCCTCCTCCTCCTCCACCTGTAGATGGGCATGCCCGATTGAAGACGAGAGGACACACCCGCCCGTCCTCGCCGCCGACGCCGCCGCCGGGCTCCGGCGCCGCGGCGCCGATCGTCTGCCGGACGCCCTCGGCCCACGCCTGCCGGGCCAAGGCCTCCCTTCGCCCACCCCTCAAGCCGGGAATCGACTACATAATGAATTTGCCTCAAAATTGTTTTCTTCGTCGAGGGGGAGGAGGAGAAGGAGGAGAAAGAGGAGGAGGGATTGAATTGCCCCAAAACTGCTTCATTCGTCGGATCTACGGACACGGACAAATACGTAGAAGGTTCGCCTGTGTGCAAAGACTGTACGTATCTGTTTCGAGGACTCGATGAACAGATGATTTCTGGTGCAAGTCAATTCTGTCGTCGATCCCCTGACTACTCAAACCCCTTCCCTCCACCGCCGCCCCCGTCGCCCTCGCTGAGGGGGGCCGAGACGAGACGAGACGAAACCAGCAGGCCGTGCAGCCACGAAGGGCGAGTCAGAGAGCGCGGCTCAAGTGTTGCCAGAGCATGGCAGGTGCGCCCAGGAGGGGGAGGATGGATGAGGAGGAAGAGGAGGAAGAGGAGGAAGAGGAGGAGGAGGAGGAGAGCGAGGAGGAGGAGGAAGAGGAGGAGGAGGAGGAGGGGACAGAGGTGAAGGAAACACTTTCGGGCCTCCAGACACCTCCGGAGGACTGCGGAGGCCTCCTGAAGCCTCCAGGAACCTCAGAGGCCTCCAGAGACATCCTGAGGGGGAACATCGACCAGGAATCGGCGATCCGCTGCCGATAGAACGGCGATAGGACGTCGATTGCGAAACCGCACGTTACTGGGCGGGGTTGGCCATCAGGACCCTATCGGTGATGAATGGGCGAAGGGGGGGGGGCGATGCATTCCCCCCCTGAGCCAATTCCCTCTTATCGCTGCCCCTGGCGAAAAGGGAAAGGATCAGACAGCATCGAATCGGGAAGCCTGACCTAGCCCGAGTGTAAATATGATCGGGCCGAATCGGCAAGACGTCGGAATCGAATCGGATCGGCCGCGCCAGGGATGCACAACAGCGGCGTGGAAGCATCGGGCTGCATCGGATCGTCGGAATAGCGGAATCGAATCGGATCGGGCCGCCCCGGATCGACACGGAATCGGATCGACCCGATCGAAATGCGCCGTGCGTTGAAAGGGGACGGCAAACGGGGAGGGGACTGGCTTGGGGGGGGGGGAGCGACTCGCAAAATCGGCAACGCCCAAGCTGCACTCCGGAGTTTTGCTCCCCGGGCCGTGCGGGCTCTTTTTACGACCTGCTCAGATCCGCAAACGGCTCGCGCGGAACTCGCTTGGCGGCGCTGCAGCGAGGCTCGCAGACACGCTTGCTTGGGGCAAGCTGCGGAAGCGCTGCCCCAGAGCTGCTCGCCAGCCGAGGCCGCGCTGCCTGGGAGCTGCCTGGGCGCTGTCCACGAGCGCAGAGAGCGCGGCACATAGGAGCGCGACCTGGAAACTGCGCGAGTGGCCGGGACGGGCTGCGCAGGGCTGCGCAGTCGCTTGCGGCCCCAAGCCTTGGGAGCGAGCAGGAAGCGCTTGCGGGACAGGCTGCGAATTACTGAAGGGGCCCTGGGGACACACAAATAAGTACACACACAAATAACAGGGTTCCCAATATTTTCCCATATTTTCTGGGTGTTTGTCTTCCCCCCCCACTTCCCATTTTTTCCCATATTTTCCTAGGAGTCGGCGATTAATTGTGTCTGTGTGTTTCCTCCCCTCCTGAATTACAGACACATGCTGCGGCGTTGCCTGACCAGCAGCCGTGGAGAGGAAGCTGGACGGGCTAGCCTGCCGGATCCTTCTCCGAGGCCCTGAGCTCTCGAGCGGCCGGCTGCCCAGGAACGGCGCGCAGGCTCGGGAAGCTCCGCCTGGAAGCTGCCTGGGAGCTGCGCGCGATCAGGGGGCACCGCGAAGGAGCTGCGCAGAGGCGTGCGGACCACGTCTTTGGGAGCGAGCAGGAAAAACGCCTGCGGGAGAAGCCGCGGGCTCCAGCAACTCGCTGAGGCAATGACTGCGCGGCAGCCGTGGAGACGAAGAAATAGAAGAAGAAGAAGAAGAGGAATAAGAAAAATAATAATAACAAACAGAAGAAGAAGAAGAAGAAGAAGAAGAAGCTGCCGCCTCCCTGTCTCCTCGCCGCTCCTCTCCTCTCTCCTCCCCGGGGGTGGCGCTCTGGCCCCCTCGAGCTGACTCTCTTCATCAGGCTGGTGGTGGCGAAGAAGGCCCCGATCCAAGGGCACGCGCCGCCCGTCGCACCTCCGAGCCTGCCGCTGCCTGTGCCAGCATACGACGCTTCAGGCCGATGCCGCCAGTCCTAGGACCCCTCCCGGGGTGCGTTCGGACTGGAACTCTGCGGCGGCCCAGGCCGTGAGGGCCTCCCCGGAGGCACAAAGAGGGCGAGAACGACGCCAGAATACAGCCGGCCCGTATTGGAAGGATGCACGATGAGGATGCAGGGGCCTTGGACGCCCATTTCGAAGCTTCTCGAGCGGGGCGCGGCCGACGAGAGCCGCCAGGGATGAACCGAGGGGGCAAGGATGCAAGGATAATTATCTATCCTTGGGAAGGCTGCCCATCCTTACTGTGCGAGTCGACTGTAGCAGCGCATCCGTGCCTGCTCCTGCTCTGACTCTCTCTCTCTCTCTCTTTCTCCCTCTTTCTCCCTCCCATCTCTGTTTTTTCTCTCCCTCTCTCTCTCTATCTCTCTATCTCTCTCTCTCTCTCTCTTTCTCCCTCTCTCTCTTTCTCCCCTGTCTCCTCCCCTCTCTCTCTCTCTCTCTCCCTCTCTGCAATGACTCTCGCTCTCTCTCTATCTTTCTCTCTCTCTCTCTCTCTCTTTCTCCCTCCCCTCTCCCTGGGCCCGGCTCGTGCCTCGTGGACCTCTTGGCTGTCGGCGTGCAGCTGCAGGATGGGGCTCCTGGGCTCAGGGCACCGCCGCCGAGAGGAAGACAGAGAGAAAAAGGCCTGCACCGCTGTCCTGCCCTCGGTTTCGCCATGCTGGGCCTCTCGGGGGGGGGGGGCTCGTCTCCGCGGCTGGGTTCGGGCAAGCTCTAACATGGGCTACGTCTACGTGGATGTGTCGCGTGAGCGCCAGACCTGCGGATCAGGGGAAGCGCCCACCACCCCCAGAGCATGAAGCCAACGGACGTCGCCTGGTTTGGCAACGGAACTCGTCGATTTCGCTTGGGCGGGGGACCTGCCACTCATCCACGCGCCTCAAGCCGTGTCTGCGTTGCCCCGATGGGTTCGCATCGGCATACTCGTCAGAACGTGCTCCTGGAAAGGTCCAACCAGCGGCGGCGGCGGTAACTTGATGTCCCCCGAACCGTTGGGAAAGGAGGCGCGCACCACCACGGGACCTCCACAAGCCAGCATGGCGCCAAACCGCGGTAATTATGCATCAACAGCGGGCCTAGGATCCTGCGGGGGGGCGGCGGCGGAGCCCTTTGGCACTGGCACCTCCCAACTTCTGATGCAGACGCCAATGCAGAGCTCTTGGCAACTCCTGGAAGACTTCGTGTGACAGGAGAAAAAAGGCAAGACCGAGGAAAAGGAGAGGAGGAGGCGGAGGAGGAGAAGGAGGAAAAAGAGGAGGGTCAAAGATCGAAGATCGGTTGCAAGGCTCCCAAACAGTCTTCTGCACATTTTTACAGAACTGCGCGAGTGCACATTGTTGGGCCGACGGACTCCCAGGCTCACAATTTAACGGGTCGACTTGACGGGTTAACGGGTCGACGGGGCCACGCTACAAGCCAAAACCCTCTGCCCGGAAGCCCATGGCCGAGGGTATTGAAGGGGCCCCAGGACACACTAATAACTACACACATAAAGAAAACGATTCCTCATCGTTTCCATTTTTTTGTTTTTGTTTTCCCCCCACTTCCCATAGTTTCGTATATTTTCCGGGGAGTCGACGATTAAGTGTGTCTGTGTGTTGCTTCCCCTCCTGAGGTATATGGTTTGCGGCTTAGGCCTCAAGGCTTCGAGCCTAGGGGGCTTCGGACCTCAGAGTTTCGGGCTTAGGGCTAAGGATGTCGGCATTTGGGCCCAGGGCAGAAGGCTGCGTACCTTGGGTTCGGTCATGAAGGCTAAGAGCTCGAGGCTTGGGCCGGCTGAAGGACTCGGCCCTAGAGCTTGGGGCTTGGGGTTCAGGGCTCCAAACTTAAGACGCGTGGTCAACATCTTAATCCTGGGAACTGAAGGCCCCAGGCGTAGGGCGTAGGTCCCCAGGCCTAGGGCCTCGAGTCTAGGCCAGGCATTAGCGCTTGCACTACGGGGCTAGTGTTCAGGGCCCTAGGGCTTAAGAGGCGCATCGCGGGCTCACGGGTTCACGACTTGACGGGTTGACGCTTTCACGGCCCATGGTAGGCAGAGGCTTCTGGAGACCCCAGAGGACCTCCGGGTCGCAAAAGCTGGAAATGCGATGGCTTCTGATACTGATGTTTTGATATCGGACAACCTGCTTCGCAATATCTCGCATGTTGCTGGGATGTCTGCGCGCCTCCTCAGCGCGGAACCCCGAGGGCGCAAGCTGTCGTCAGCAACTTGCTTCACAAAAAGCAGGAGGGCCCCAAGGCATCGTCGGGCGATCAACCCGGTCCGCTCTGGAGCCGAAAAAATCGATGCATGCTTGTCAAAACGCGTTCTACCGGTGTGTATGTCTCTTGCCGCCTGCAGCTATATCACTTAGTGGGCTGCGGCCAACAGCCTCACGCCAACTCCTCTCGCTCATCACTGTTTGCGGGGGCCTACCTATCCCCGCGAATGCTCTTGCAGGGGGGCGAAACGGGGCTGGGTGCGATTCATGGCGCACGTGCAAGGCGCCTGGCTCCCTCTCTCCTCGCAGCGAGCGGGCGTTGGCTAAGCCTGCGCGCCTTAGTCCGGCCACGGGCGGCCAGGGGCGGGGCGCCCCTCACGGCGCCCCTTTTTCACAGCGCGCTTCTCGTAGAGCACGCCCGTCGCGATGCCCGCGGCGATCAGGATGATCGCCACAAACACTTTGATCATCGTGCCGTAGGTCCCCGTCTGGGTAGCACCCGCCGCGCAAGTGCCCACGTCGGACCCGTTGGCGGCCCGAGCCGTCGCGCACAGCAGAAGCGCCGCCAGGGCCCGGGCGGCCTCGCGCGCCCCGAGGCCCGCCACGGTCCTGCCCGCGATCCCGAGGTTCGCCATGCAGGCCTGCACCGCCTCCTGGTCGAGCGCCTTCCCCCCTGCATCACTCGGATTCTTCTTACCGTCGACTCGCTCGATCTCGAACTGCTTCCCCCCCGGCGCCTGCCGGTGCCAGATGTGGCGCGTCTGTAGGCGTCGCGCGCGCGCCCGCGGCCCACTCGGCGGATCACGCCGCGAGCCGCGTCCGAGTCCGCGCGAATGATCAGCTTCGCGCCCGCTGGAAGTCCAGCTCCCAGCTCGGCGATCTCGACCACCACCTGCTTGACCGCGATCCCCCGAGCTGCCGCCGAGCCAATCGCATAGAACTCCGACTCCGCGCTGCTGCGCTCGACGGCACCCTGGGCGATGCCCTGGCTGTCGATGAGATGTCCAGCACCGGTGTCTCCGACCTGGATCGCGCCTGCCGACGTGCTCTTGAACGTCTGGACGTCGCCGCTCCAGTCGCCGTCGGAATGCGCCGCGATGTCGTTCCAGGACGCCTGGTAGAGGAACTCGATGCCAAAGTCGTGCGTCCCTGCAAGGTAGCGCGCCAGCAACCTCAACCACATCATGATCAGACGCGTCGGGCGCGCCATGTCTGATGCCAGATGCTTCACTGCGAACTGGATGTCGAAACGGTCTGGCCCGATGTGCATGCAAATGCCCGTGCCCCTGCAGTAGATCACCTTTTCAACACGCTTCAGCTCCTCGGGTGCATCCCGTGCGTTCTTGCCAGTCGCTCGGCTGGCAGGCGCCGGGGGCGGCTTCGCACCCTTCAAGTCCAGCAACGTGCTCAGGTGCTCGAAGTGTACCGGGTCAGGCAGCAGCATGAACACGTTCGGGCTCCACAGTAGAAGCCGTCGTAGAACCAGGCCTGTCATCAGCGGCTGGTCCAACCCTCGGGAGGATCGTGGCCATGATGCTCCCCGTGATCATGGCGTCCACCTTGTCCAGCTGCTGCGGCTCGCCGTCGGCGTGGAAGTCGTCACCGTGGAACCCCGACAGGCAGTCCCACTCGCTGTGGCACGCCAAGCAAGGCACCGTCGACCGGATGTTCCAGCCGCGCTCCCGGCACGTGCCCTGCGCCAACTCATGGAAAACAGCGGTTGACTCGCTCATCCCGCGCAGCGACGTGCTCGCGCGCCAGAGCAAGTCGGTGCAGTGAAGCTCCTTCGGCTGATCGGCCCAGACTGCCTCCTTCAACTGCGCATGGAAGAACGCCGCCGAGATGTCGTGCGACGCAAGCTGCCTCGACTCTCCACGTGATGCCAGCCTCGAGATCGCCAGCTTCAGCGCCAATGTCGGAAGTGTCCCTGCGTAGAGCTATAGTGCGAAGACGCCTCCTGCAAAGTCCCGAACGACTATTCGCGATCGCACGCAATAGTGTCCCTTCCGTGTGTGGAAGAGCTTGGTGGAGTTCACCCTCTCCCCCGCTGGCTTCTCGCTGTGCTTCTTCCAGACCATCGCCTCGAACTCCCCGATCTCGTCGAGCTCGCGCATCGCGCCCTCAAGCACCAGCCCCTTCGGGAGGACCTCGCCAGTGCACTGGTTGTGGAAGCTGCCCGCAAACAACCTCTCGTCGAAAGTCGGGGCAGAGTCCCTCCCCTCGCAGAGCGCGCCGAGGGTCATGGCCTCCGCCTCTGGGTCGGTGTCCATGGGCGCAGCGGGGGCCGCGTCGTGAACCGGCCTCTCCCTTGCTGGCCCTGCGCCGTGGACTGAGTCACCTTCTCGCCTAGGACCGCAGGCCGTAGGCAACGCCAGTCCTGGTGGTGGGCCGACGGCCTGTGGCTGTCCTGGCTGGCTCTGGGGTCCTGGGCCCCCCCCCTGGTGACCATGGCTTCGGGGCTTCGGCGCCGCCTGCGCCGCTCGCCCGCTGCGCATGGATCAGCTGCTCAGCCTGCTTCCTGAAGAACTCTTTGAAGCGAGCCCTGCGCGCAGTCGCGCGCGCGCGCTGGGCAGCCCCAGGCAGGGCGCGCAGTCAGGACTCTCGCCGTGCTCCAGGATCAAGGCGCGAGAAATGCACCTCCGCTTCGCGCTCGCCACTGGGGTCTCCGTCTCCGGGGCCCACGGGTTCCAGGGAACGCCGATGAACGTCCCGAACTCCTCCTGGACCCAGCCCTCGCTCTCATCGCGTCACTTGAACGACCTGACGAACTCGATCCCTCGTGCTGCGCCCACGACAATCTCACCACTCGCGCCCCTCCGTCAGAGGAACACGCCCGAGGCCCAGCGCGGGTCGAACTTCGACTGGCCTGCGCGAATCAACCTGAAGTCCACCGTCTCGCCCGCGCCCACGAGAGGCGATGTGAACTCCCCCCGTCGCATTGTCGCCCAGGCGCTCCGACCGTCACTTTTCAAGACATGCCCGGTGATGGCGTGCGCCGAGTGCCTGGCCAGCCACGGCAAGATCACCGACTCGCTCGTCACCTTGGCATTGTACTTGTCCTCGATAACGGCCACGCAGGTAAGAGTGAGCGACTCCACCCTACGCGCCGCACCCTGGATGCCACCATTCGCCTTGCTGTCGCGCTTCGTGGACTTCTCTCGATCGCGGCGCGATGGCGCTCGACTCGGCGCCGGCGCAGCTCTCCGAGCAACGCCTGGAAGGCTGGCCCCTGGTCTGCCCTCAGCACGACCTCGCCAGCGCCCCGCGCCTCGAGGTAGAAGAGCGCGAACTCGACTGCAACGTCATCGACCCCCTTCTTTGCCACCTGCGTCGCTCCCACGGCGCAGGGGGGCCTCGGCGCGAAGACCAGAACCGTGGCCTTCTGCAACTCCCCCTCGCGCGCAAGGAAGCAGTAATCCAACGTGAGCTTCGCGACCGTCGACTCCTTGGACAGGCTCTCTCGCGGGGGCCCCCGGTCGCCCGACCCGTCGAGCAGTGCGTGCGCCAGGCGCGGCGCGGGCAGCGGGTCAGCTCGCGCTCGGCCTTCTCCTCAGCGATCGACCAAGACGCACGCGCTTTGCTGAGCGCGGGCCCGGCGTCCTCATTCTCCACGAGGTCGTCGCTGAACCTCGCGCTTCTCCAGCTCCTCATCCTTATCCGTTGCCGCGCACAGCTCGCCGCTCCTCGAGCACCGCCGAACTGGGGCGGCGAAGATGCCGTTCTTCCGCCTCAGCTCGATGGACCTGTTCTTGCCGATGTTGCCCCTCGCGACCATCGCCAGCTCCTTCGCGCGCTTGGGCTTCCTGATGCAGCTCCCTCCGTCGTACAGCCACGCTCCGTGGCCCGCGTCGACCGCCGAGCTGGCTGCCATGATCGGCTTCCGCACAAATTTCGCCTCGAAATTCACCGTCAGCTGGTCGCCCGAGCTCTGGTCCACCATGCTCACCTCCTTCTCGCCGTAGTGTGCGACCTCTTTGCCATCTGCCTGGTAGAGCGCCGTGCCACGGCCCTCCTCGACAGCGCCCTCTGGGGCCCACGTCGGCGGGCAGACGCTCTTCGCCGTGCGATCGTCGAAGAAGAGGTCGAAGTCGTCGCCCTCGAGCGCGCAGCAGTCGCTCATCGCGATCACCTCGTCGGTCAGGGCGAAGATGAACCCGTCAGCCTCGTCGTTGTAGTCATCGTCCGACAGCGCCGCCCGCGCTGCCATGTCTCCCTTCTCGGCGTCAGCACGCTTCCCAGTGGCCTTGTCAACTGGCCTGCCTGCGCACCGCCCTGCTTTGTCTGGCTTGATATCCTCGTTCGCGCGGTCCGCCGCCAAGACTCTGCACTTTTGCTTCGCGTGGTTCGGCTTGGCGCAGTAGAGGCAGAGACCCTCTGGTCCTTACCCTTGCCGTCGTGGTCCTTGCCTTTGCCTGTCTTGCCCTTGCCCTTGCCCTTGCCTTTGCCGTTGCCGCCCCTCGTCGTGGGGCACAGCTCTCCTGTCACGGGGTTCAGCTTCATGGCCACTGGCTCCTGCTCCTGGCTGGCCGTCGCCCTCAGGTACGAGATCGCCTCGTTCCTGGCCGCCTCGTACGTCTGCAGGCGTCCCGCCTGCAGGTTGAGATGGGTCCTCAGGTTGCCTTCCAGGAACTTGTTGCTGAGGGTCGCTAGCTCGATCGTGTCGGCCGTTGTGGTTCCTGACTGCTCCTCGTACTGCTTCAGCTTGCGCCCCCACGCGCAAATGTTCTCGACGGCGTCTGGCCCGCGCACGGGGGCCAGCAAGTGCTGCAGCATGCCCTGGAAGCGGCTTGGTAGCTTCGAGCTCGAACTCAATCCACAACTGCCTCCAAGCCTCGATGCCCTAGCCTTCGGGCACCCGCTGAACGACCGACAGCGCCCGCCCACGACATGTGAGCGCCAGCACGTAGAAGATCTGCGCCGAGAGCCGCCTCTCGTGGGGCTCCATCGTGATGTTGCTTATGGGCTGGTCCTCGTCCGTCCTCTTGGCCGCGAAGTCCAGGGCTTCTCGGCACGATGCATCGACGGCTCCTGCATAGGCTCTGAGCGTGAACGACCACTGCTGCCACGCTAGTCCACCCTCTGGCTTGCCCTCGCCCGTGACGTCTCCCTGAGAACGGCGGCGGCTTGCCGAGGGCCCGTGTGTCCACCAACGCGTCGGCATTCTGGGCCGTCGTCGTCGGTGCTGCTGGTGGATCTGCTGGGACCGCTGTGGCTTGGGCTGAGTCGGTAAATCACCGCTCTAGCTTCGGCCGGGTGGCACTGCAGCGCCGCCTGCTGACGTTGCCTCTCATCTATCTGCTGCTCCGCCGCGGCCAGCCTGGACTCCATGGCCCTGAGGGCCTCGTCCATGGCTGGGGAACCACGCTCCGCACTACCATGCTATGGTTCCTGGCGCGGCTGTTTTGACAAACCAGTGGCTGCGGACAACCTGCTTCGCAATCTCTCGCATGATGCTGGGATGTGTGCGCGCCTCCTCAGCGCGGCACCCCGAGGGCGCAAACTGTCGTCAGCAACTTGCTTCACGAAAAGCAAGAGGGCCCCAGGGCATCGCCGGGCGATCAATCCGATCCGCTCTGGAGCCGCACAAACAAAACAGAACGTCCAGAAGCGTCCAGAAGCGCCACGAAAACAAAAAACAGATCCGCCTGGGATGTTTGCAGGAAAAACAGACGTCCAGAAGCGCAGGACATCCCGCAAGGCCCCTGGGGCCTCCCAGCGGCCCTCCATAGGTGCACGGCCTGATCTCCGAGGGCTCCCGCAGGGTCGGCGCGGGCCTCGGCAAGAGAAAGCTGCCAGGCCCAGCGTGGAGCGCGCAGCAGACCCGCACGCCCGCACGGCAGGGGATGTCGACCCCGTGTGTTCCCTGCGCGAAGGTCGCGCTGTCGGCTGGCGCCCCTGGGGTCCTGGAGACCGAACCGCTCAAAGAGGCCCAAGGACACAAATGAATAGACACAAACCCCAGGATATCCCATGTTTTCTGGGTTTTCGTGTTCCCCCCACTTCCCATGTGTTCCCATCTTGTCTTGGGGATCGACGATTATTTGTGTTTGTGTGTGCTTTTCCCTCCTGAATGTTTTCCCTGCGCGGATGCCACGCTGTCGGCGGTCGTCCCGGCGGTCCCGGGGCACGAGCCATGGCGGGCCCGCAGTAGGCGTTCCAGCTGGAGCGCCCGCGCCCGCGTCGACGCTGCGTCGACGCAATGTTCGAGTAAGGAATCAACTTCAGAGATAATTAACCCCAAGATTGATTGTCCCGTCGAATCTACGAAGAGTGCGTGGAAAGTTCCGTTGATCTGCGGAGCATTCGACGTGCTGTCGTGGAGTCTACGGAGAAACAATTGTTCGGGGTAAAACAAATCTGTAGTCGATCCCCTACTTGAAATGTTCGGTCAGGATCGAGCCCCCGACCGCTCCCCTGGGCACCAACCTGGCTCGTCCTTCGAGCTGCTCCCAGCCGCTCATGGGCGAAAAAAACATGTGCGTGCCCGCGGCCTCGCATGCCCTGGGCCTCGACCCCGCGGACACGGAGCGTGTTGCTCGCGGGTACCCCGCGCGGAACGCATCCGTGCGACCGCGTACCCGCTGGATCGCGCCTCGGAGTGCCACACTGCGAGGGCGCGGACAATTGTGGACGTTTGCGTCGCTCGTGAGCCGTGGCCACGAGGCGCACCACCCCCAAACGCCCCAAGAAGGAGAACCGGAGCTTCGTCCTGAGGCTCACGCTGCGTCTCCAGAAGACCGTCTGTCCTTCTTTCTTTCGATACAGCGCAAGGCGTTCACACCTACACGTCCCACAGTCTCAAGTTGCCTTACATAAACCAGAGTACTGCTGCAAACCCAATTCTGAAGACAGCGCTTCGGCCACAAAATTGCAACTGCACCACGCCAAACGCCACTCCCACTCTGTACACAATACGATGGAAAAAAATTGGGAAATATGCCAAGAGAGCGATGCCGGCCGATCTGTGGCCGAGCCTCGCCCGGCTCCGTCCACGCCGAAGACCGTCTCTGCCTCATCGCGCTGCTGTTCCGCGTCGGCACCGCGCCGAGTCCGAGCAGAGCCCGCGGCGGACACAACATGGGGCACGAAAACCACAGGGACGGCACGATCCCTCGGGGACGCGAGCCCCAGACACCCGACGAGGTGAGTACTTCAGTCTGCGGGCCCTAGGAGGACCCGACCCTTGCCCAAGGCAAGTTCTCGTCCCATATCCGTGCTCGGGGTTTCCCCAGGGCCCGAAGACAACCCGTTCGAGTCCCGATCGGGGAAAGACGCAGTGACGAACCCAAACAGCAACAGAACGCCTGTGGGCCTGGGACATCTGGTTCCCTGTCTCGCAGGCCACTTTGCCATCCTGAGGAGCTCTGTTGGACGGCCCCTGGGGCTGGGAAACGGCCTAACCTATGTGCGGGGGGAACTACATCCAGACTTTCTGCGGCGGCACGGGATGTCTGGGCACCAGCATAGGAACCGAACCAGCACGACACTTCCTTCTTATCCCCTTGTTTGTTCATCCTTCCTCTTCCCTTCTTGCTGCCTGGCTCTTCCCGTTTCTTCCGATCCGCACCAACCTTCCCCGCTCCTGCCATCGCTCAGTCAACCTTTTCTGGTGCATCGTTTGGTGTCGTGCGCATGTTTTGTTCCCTCGAGATGACCCATATTTTGTTCTTCCGCTGGCCTCGCCGAGAAAAAACGCACACGTCCGAGCGATGCCAAGCGCCCTATGCACGCCGCGTGCCCGCATGCGTGTCTATCAGGGCGGAGCTCGTGGCTACACCAGGCGCGGCCGCACCCCGAGGCGCGGCGGGCGGGGGGCCGCGGGGGGGGGCTCCCGTCGCGAGCCAGCACCGTCAGGACCCACTGCCTGGGCAGCTCAGGAAAGTGTCCCCAGCTGACGGGCCTGTTTTCAACCACCACCACCAGAAGTTGGAGGGGGGAAGGGGTCCTCCTCCTCCTCCTCCTCCTCCTCCTCCTCCTCCTCCTCCTTCCCCCAGAAACTTATGGTGGTGGTGGTGGAAAACAGGCCCTCACTTCAGTGGCAACTCATGGGAGCATCCCGTGCCGTCTTGATTCCTCTTGCGAACCGACGCTGACCGAAGCTAAGCGACGCTAATCGACGCCTTCTCATCATCACCAGACACTGGCGCACGCTGATGCACTCTCAAGGGCGGCATTGCGAGGACATACAAAGCTCCCTTGCTTTGCTACCGAACACCCTCGAGGCTGCCGTGCTCCTGGCGGCGGCGCGCCGAGAGGGGGGGGGAAGTGAGACGGCGCAGGCCTTCTCAGATGGCAGCGCAGCGGGGCTTATCAGAAGCCCACCGGCCCTGCAGGTGTCTCGCCGTGCTTTGGGACTCTGGAGCCCCGCACGGGCCCTCGGAGCGCCAGAACACGACGCGTGGGGAAGAACCTGTCCTTGGGAGGAGTCTCCTCCGTGGCGAGAGATCGCCGTGCTCGCAGGGGAGATGCCTCCGCCATGGGGAGACAACTCCCCCACGGGGTCACCGTTTGAGACGTCCGTGACCCCATGATCGGTGACCCCCAGATCGACGTACCGTGCGGGCGCGGCCGCAAGAAACCCTCGCGAGAAACCCAACCCTGAAAACTCGCGTGCGGGGTGCACCCGAGGGGAAGCCCGGAGCACCCTGAACGCATCAGCTCCTTCAGCGGCCGCAGGAAGCCGCCGCGCAGCGCGCGGAGCGAAAGAACCCACGAGACCCTGACGAAGAGCATCCGGTCTCTTGAGGCTCGCCCCCACTGTACGAGGCGTTTCAAGGCGTCGCCCTCGGCGCAGCCTCGCCCGTGCCGCAAGGCCGCGGAGGGCCCGGGAAGGCCCGGCGGAGGGGGCACGGCGGTAGATCTCCCGTGGGATGCGGGCACGAGGCCAGCGGAAGGCGCGGGGAAAGTCAAAAGCGAACGCCTTCTTTGAAGGGGCCCCAGGACACATAAATACTAGAACCACGCGCGCGCTTCGCGCGCGCTTAGGTTCTGTCGAGTCACAGACCCAGGAACCGTTGTGAGAAGAAATTGGTGACGCGAAGCGTCGTGGGGGCGTCCTTGGACGTCTGGGGTCTCCTGGGGCCTCTTGAGGGGCCTCCTGGGGGCCTCCTGGCGGCCTCTTGGGGCGGAAGGCTCGAGCTTGCGGTTCGTGGTCCCCCTCTGGGCCCCCTCTTGGGCCCGTCTTGGGGCCCTCTTGGGCCATCTTGGGCGCCTCTTGGGCCGTCTTGGGGCCCTCTTGGGCTGTCCTTGGGCCTCCTTTGGGCCTCTTGGGGGTCTCCTGGGGCCTCTTGAGGGGCCTCCTGATGGCCTCCTGGCGGCCTCTTGGGGCGGAAGGCTCGAGCTTGCGGTTCGTGGTCCCCCTCTGGGCCCCCTCTTGGGCCCGTCTTGGGGCCCTCTTGGGCCATCTTGGGCGCCTCTTGGGCCGTCTTGGGGCCCTCTTGGGCTGTCCTGGGGCCCTCTTGGAAGCTTCTTGGGCCGTCTTGGGGCGGTCTTGGGCGCCTCTTGGGCCGTCCTGTAACGTCGGAAAACCCAAAAGACAACTTTGTTGAAAATGTACGTTTTACGAAGGGAATGGGCCAATTTTGCGTCTAGGGGCCCTCTTGGGACGCATGTTGGAGGCTTCTTGGGGCCTCTTGGGGGCGTCCTTGGACGTCTGGGGTCTCCTGGGGCCTCTTGAGGGGCCTCCTGGGGGCCTCCTGGCGGCCTCTTGGGGCGGAAGGCTCGAGCTTGCGGTTCGTGGTCCCCCTCTGGGCCCCCTCTTGGGCCCGTCTTGGGGCCCTCTTGGGCCATCTTGGGCGCCTCTTGGGCCGTCTTGGGGCCCTCTTGGGCTGTCCTGGGGCCCTCTGGGAAGCTTCTTGGGCCGTCTTGGGGCGGTCTTGGGCGCCTCTTGGGCCGTCCTGTAACGTCGGAAAGCCCAAAAGGCGACTTTGTTAAAAATGTACGTTTTACGAAGGGAATGGGCCAATTCTTGCGTCTAGGGGCCCTCTTGGGACACATGTTGGAGGCTTCTTGGAGCCTCTTGGGGGCGTCCTTGGACGTCTGGGGTCTCCCGGGGCCTCTTGAGGGGCCTCCTGGGGGCCTCCTGGCGGCCTCTTGGGGCGGAAGGCTCGAGCTTGCGGTTCGTGGTCCCCCTCTGGGCCCCCTCTTGGGCCCGTCTTGGGGCCCTCTTGGGCCATCTTGGGCGCCTCTTGGGCCGTCTTGGGGCCCTCTTGGGCTGTCCTGGGGCCCTCTTGGAAGCTTCTTGGGCCGTCTTGGGGCGGTCTTGGGCGCCTCTTGGGCCGTCCTGTAACGTCGGAAAGCCCAAAAGACAACTTTGTTGAAAATGTACGTTTTACGAAGGGAATGGGCCAATTTTTGCGTCTAGGGGCCCTCTTGGGACGCATGTTGGAGGCTTCTTGGGGCCTCTTGGGGGCGTCCTTGGACGTCTGGAGGCCATCTTCAGCATCTCGGAGCCCTCTTGGAGGCCTCTTGGAAGTTTCTTGGGCCGTCTTGGGCGCTTCTTGGGCCGTCTTGTCTGACTGGGGAGGCCTCCGGCAAGCCCCGACGAGCCTCCGGGCCCCCCGGGGTGCACATTTGTGGTCGAGGTCCCGGCCCCGGGCCCCCGGACCCGGTGCGCCGATATATGTATACATACACACGAATAAAAAGATTCCCCATATGTTCCATCTGTTCTGGGTTCCTGTCTTCCCCCCCACTTCCCATAGTTTCCCATATTCCTGGGGAATCGACGATTAATTGTGTCTGTGTGTGTTTTTTTTCCCCCTCCTGATCCTTGTTCGGCGTTTCGACATTGAGCAGAAGGGAGGGAAGGGGGCGAGGGCTGGCTTCGGACCTGTGCTTATTGCAACAGTGCGTCCTATAGGGGAGACTCCACCTGCTCGGAACAAAGGCCAAAAACAGCCAAGAGCTACTCCATGGGGGCGTGTGCGAGGGCCCGCGCCGGTCGGCAAAACAGTAAGTAAACGATCACAAGATCGACGTATGAGGCGTGTCAAGGCGTCGCCTGCGGCGCAGCCAAGATCTACTCCATAGAGAGGGGCGGAGGGGGGGTGCGAGGGCCCGCGCCGATCGGCAAAACAACGAATGAGAAAACGATCACAAGCGAGACGTCAACGTGTTTGGATCCAGGGTTAAGTCGGGCCTGTCCAACTACAGGGGGATTTTCGACTAAAAATAAAACATGCCCCCAAACATAGCCAAAAAAATAATCCAAACATAATCCGGGTACTATTTTTTGAATATGTTTCACCTTCTTGGTGTTTTGTTGGGGGTATGTTTTAGTTTTCGTCGAAAATCCCCCTGTAGGGGGACAGGCCCGGCAGAAATCCAGGGCTTCCCGAGTCGGCCACGTGGACCTGCGAACAGGTGCCGCCGCTGCGGGTTTTGGGACCTGTGCCATCCGCGGCCCCCCGATGGGGGGCAGGCAAGCCTGCCTCGCTTTCGACCACCCTCGACTTCCAAGAGATACCAGGCGATGCCAAAGTGCGGCCTGTACTGGTCAGGCCGCTTGACGAGGAGGCGCGTGGTATGACTTGGTTTTGCTTGGCGCGTGGGTAGGTAATTCACACTCTGACCAGAGGTCTGGGCCTCGTCCGCAAGAGGGCAGCTCTGCGTCCCGAGTCCACGTCCGATGGCCCCGGGGCTCGTTGCAAGCGGGCCCCAGGGCACAGGGGCCGAAACCAAGAAAAAACCCGCCCAGCTGTTTTTTGTTGGTTTTTTGTTTATGTTTGTTTATGTGCTTGTTTTGTTTGTTCTCTTTTTCTGCTTTGTCCATATTCTTTGTTTGCAATTTGTTGTAAAAAAGAACGAGGGTGAGAGGACGAAGAAGCGGCAATACAGCCGACGCGCATGAGAAGGACGCGCAGTGAGGATGCAGGCCCCTGGGACACCCAATTTGAGGCTCTTTGCGCCAGGGATGGAGCCCCGTGGATGCCTAAGTTGAGGCTCTTTGCGCTGAGGACTGCCTGAGGATAGGCCGAGCAGGCGAGGATCCAAGGATACCCTTGGGAATGACACTCAACCGTACCACGCGCGTTGACAATAAACATCAACGCTCGGAGCTCCGCGCCGGATTTCTTGGATCGACACTGGACCCCCTCTCCCGGCGCCGCCAGGGGGGGGGGGGGGGGCAGCGCCGATCCAACGAGTCCAGCGCGGCCCTTCGAAAATGGCTCCTCCTTGCGAGGGTGCAAGCCTTCGAGGGGCGAGAAGCTTCCACTTTCTCCTCATGCTCATGCCGCAGCGGGAGGGGAATGCAACGGAATCATGGCCAAGACTGAACGCGGAAGCGTCGTGCCAATCTTGGTCACCGTCGATCCTGGTCGGCGTCAACTCGTGCCTCGTCCTCGCGCGCTGGCGCGGGGCCGACACGGACCATGACCAGGGTCGGCACCGACAAGATCCCACACGACAACTTAATCATGCTTTAGGTCGGGCATGTCCCCCTACAGGCGGAGCTTGCATGAACAACCCAGAACATGCGAACAAACCAAAAACATCAAAAACGGTCAAACACAGTCACAACATCGTCCCCAGCGTATTCTTAAAACGATGTTCGAACACTCCTCCCGTGGAGGGACGTGCCCGGCTCGGGTCATGCTCCCCGTGGCTCTCCCTTCGGGCTCGCCCCCTCGAGGGGCACAGGAGCCCCCGGGGCCTGCAGGGGCGGGGGCCACGCTCTGAGCTCCCGGGCCGCCGGTCCCTCGTCTCCGGGTGCGCGCCCGCCGCGGCGTCCAGCGAAGCCCCGGCCGCGAGGCTCACCGTCCTGGGAGCGCGCCGGGCGGTGCCCCCCGAGGGTTCGGTCGGGCACGTCGCCCGTGCGGGAGGAGGAGGAGGAGGAGGAGGTGGAGGAGGAGGAGGGCGGATCTCGGACGAAGAATCGGAGGCTACCCCAAACACAGAGTACTCGGGGACACGCCCGGCTGAGCCCTGCGGAGGCCAGAGCACACACAGCATCCAAGGGTTCGAGTAGAGGATCGACTACAGAACTGACTTACTCCGAAATTGGTTTCTCTTCGTCGGATCCATGCAAAATACCGCGTCTTTTTGGGTAGGTTCGACGAGGAAATCAATTTTGGGGTAAATCAATTCTGTAGTCGATCCCCTACTCGAAGGGTGCCTCTCCCCCAGGGTGCACAATATTGGCGGCGAGCGAGGGGGGGAAGCGAGCAGGAGTCCTCCAAGGCGGCGGGGCTTCTCAAAAACCCTCGCGCCTTCGGAGAAGTTTTTGCTGTCTCCGGGGAAGCCTTAGAACATTTCTCAGGAGGCCGGGGGACTTCCAAGACTTCTGAGAAGGCCTTCTCCTTCTGACTTCCCCCCCTCGCTCGCCGCCGACAAGAACAGCCAGAGAGCACGAAGAGCACGAGGGCACCCTCCCCGAACCGACCTCGGGGAGAGCGCCTGGCAGCGGTGTGCCGAGGCCAGCTGCGTGCAGCAGACTTTGTGTCCAGGCTTCGTAGTCAGGCCAGAGGGTTCCAAAGGGGGTTTTTGAGGAGGGGCTCTTCCAGGAGGGGTCCCCCAGGGGCGTCGCGCTCCATGTGTTGACGAGGTTCCGAGGCCCCTGGGGGTCTCTGTGGAAAACCCCCTCCCCAAAAGCCCCCTTTGGAGCCATCCAGTCCAGGGGGAGGGGGCCACGACCCTCCCGGACGAGCACTTCTGGACCCACCCCCCCCAGCATAGCCACGAAAGGGCGGCCTGCTGCCCAGACCCCGCGGGAGCCTTCCAAAACAGGTCAAATCAGAAATCAGACCACCTCCTCCTCCTTCTCCTCCGCCTCCTCCTCCTCCTCCGCTTCCTCCCCCCACTCCTAGCCCTTTCGATCAGGGTCGGCGGCACCGGCCGTCAGGCCTCTCCAATCAGACCACCCCCCGTTGACGGTGAGATCCAGAAGGCCCACCCCCTTGCCCAGTGTCGCCTCTTCGTCCGACCCGCCCTTCTGTGGGACTCCAGGGAGGCTTCCCGCCGCCACCGCGGCAGGATTCACCGTGCAATGTTCTCGCCGCAACGCAAGGCAGAACCATGATAAACAAAAAAGGTACCCCTAACCCTTTGGGAGGGGACCGAAGTTAGGAGGGCCGAAGACATTAGGGATAGGGTTTTTTTTTCCGAAGATGTAGCAGACCAAACCGCCCAAATCTATTATGCCTGCGAAGACGGGGGCCGAAGTGAGGCCACGTCATCATCGTGTTCTTGAGGTTGGGGATTCTTTTGCTACCGATGAACAAGGGCCGCCAGCAGACTCAACTCTTCTGTTCTCCAGCATTTCGGCCTCGGGCGGTCGTTTGCGGACCCCGCGGAGGCATCAAGAGTGGGTCCGGGCTCGGGACTTCCTGGGGCCTGCGGATTGAAAGAACATCAACAACAACAACAATCATTCCAAGACTATTCGCTCCTACCGGCCCGTGTGTCATTCACAAACCCTGGATACCCGCCCTCTTCTTCTTCGATCGTACCCACTTTGGGGGGTTATATTCCTTCCTGGCCACGTGTAATTGGAGAAACCCCTGAACAGAGAAACCCCTGAAGAGAAAATACAAAAAGAAAGAACGAAGGGATCGGAGGAAGGGAGGGATTAGAGGGGCAAGAGGAAGGGACGACGATGATTTGTGCCGTGAGTTGCGATTCAGCTTGCGCATGGCTTGCGCCAGCCATTCGAAGAAGTCCTAGGCGAAAGTGCCACTCAACGAGGAAGTCTCGGGCGATAGCCCACGACGGGCGGACGATCCTCTGACGGGCGGGTTGGGCGGGTGGGACGTTCAAGCGGGATGCCTGAGTGGGGCGAGAGCGCGATTCCTAAGTAAAGTGTGACAGAGTCCTTGGCGCGAGCGTGGTGCCTGAGCGTAGATAGCGCGATTTCTAAATAAACTGCGAAAACGTCACAGGCGAGAGCGCAATTCCTGAGAAGGGGATGTCTGGCGGGAGCGGGGGTCTAGACTAAAACGCAAGGAAATCGTAAGCGGGAGCGCCGATCTTGAGTAAATTGTGAGGAAGTCTCAGACGGGAGGGGGGGTCCTGACTAAATTGCGAGGAAGTCAAAAGGCGGGAGCGGGGGTCCTGAGTAAAGTTGGAGGAAGTCTCAGGCGAGAGCCGTTGTTGTTGTAGTCCGGGGGAGCAACAACGCAGCTTGACCCGGACTGAATTTTGAGGAAGTCTCGAGCAGGAGCGCCATTCCTGAGTAAATTGGGAGGAAGTCTCAGACGGGAGGGGGGGTCCTGAGTAAATTTGGAGGACGTCTCAGGCGGGAACCGTTGATGTTGTTGTAGTCCGGGGGGCAGGGGCACAATTTGACCAGGAAGACTTTCCGTCTAAAAAACAGGGTGCGAGCGTCGAGGGGCACACTTTGACTGAGAAAGAACAATATGCAGCGGTGAGGGGGATTAACTATGATTATTATCCCGGCAAAGCAACCTAACAGCGACGTGTAGGAGCATATCTGGAAGCATTTTCCTTAAGATTCAGGTGAGAATCCAGTTGTAGAATTCTGTTCTCGCAGTCGTAGTCGCATTCGCGATGACAGTCGCAGCGGCAACGGCAGTCGCAGTCACAGCCTCAGCCTCAGCCTGCCTCAGCCTCAGCCTCAGCCTGCCTCAGCCTCAGCCTGCCTCAGCCTCAGCCTCAGCCTGCTTCAGCCTCAGCCTCAGTCTGCCTTCAGCCTCGGCCTCAGCCTCAGCCTGCCTCAGCCTCAGCCTGCATCAGCCTCAGCCTCAGCCTCAGCCTGCCTCAGCATCAGCCTGCCTCAGCCTCAGCCTCAGCCTGCCTCAGCCTCAGCCTCAGCTGCTTCAGCCTCAGCCTCAGTCTGCCTTCAGCCTCGGCCTCAGCCTCAGCCTGCCTCAGCCTCAGCCTGCATCAGCCTCAGCCTCAGCCTCAGCCTGCCTCAGCCTGCCTCAGCATCAGCCTGCCTCAGCCTCAGCCTCAGCCTGCCTCAGCCTCAGCCTCAGCCTGCTTCAGCCTCAGCCTCAGTCAGCCTTCAGCCTCGGCCTCAGCCTCAGCCTGCCTCAGCCTCAGCCTGCATCAGCCTCAGCCTCAGCCTCAGCCTGCCTCAGCCTCAGCCTGCCTCAGCCTCAGCCTCAGCCTGCCTCAGCCTCAGCCTCAGCCTGCTTCAGCCTCAGCCTCAGTCTGCCTTCAGCCTCGGCCTCAGCCTCAGCCTGCCTCAGCCTCAGCCTGCATCAGCCTCAGCCTCAGCCTCAGCCTGCCTCAGCATCAGCCTGCCTCAGCCTCAGCCTCAGCCTGCCTCAGCCTCAGCCTGCTTCAGCCTCTCAGTCTGCCTTCAGCCTCAGAGCCTCAGCCTCAGCTGCAGCCTCAGCCTCAGCCTCAGCCTCAGCCTCAGCCTCAGCCTCAGCCTGCCTCAGCCTCAGCCTCAGCCTCAGCCTCAGCCTCAGCCTCAGTCTGCCTTCAGCCTCGGCCTCAGCCTCAGCCTGCCTCAGCCTCAGCCTGCATCAGCCTCAGCCTCAGCCTCAGCCTGCCTCAGCATCAGCCTGCCTCAGCCTCAGCCTCAGCCTCAGCTCAGCCTCAGCCTGCTTCAGCCTCAGCCTCAGTCTGCCTTCAGCCTCGGCCTCAGCCTCAGCCTGCCTCAGCCTCAGCCTGCATCAGCCTCAGCCTCAGCCTCAGCCTCAGCCTCACCTGCCTCAGCCTCAGCCTCAGCCTGCCTCAGCTGCTTCAGCCTCAGCCTCAGTCTGCCTTCAGCCTCAGCCTGCCTCAGCCTCAGCTCAGCCTCAGCCTCGCCTGCCTCAGCAGCCTCAGCTCAGCCTCAGCTCAGCCAGCCTCAGCCTCAGCCTCAGCCTCAGCCTCAGCCTCAGCCTCAGCCTGCCTCAGCATTCAAAATGTGGCCCGGGAATGGAATTCTGGGAACTCGAAGAACACGGAGTGGCCTACAGTTGGCTCCGGGCATTCAAAACCATGCCCAGGAATGGAGTTCTGGGAACTCGAAGAGCACGAAGTGGCATACAGTTGGCTCCGTGCATCCAAAATGTGGCCCGGGAATGGAGTTCTGGGAAGTCGAAGAGCACGAAGTGGCCTATAGTTGGCTCCGGGCATCCAAAATGTGGCCCGGGAATGGAGTTCTGGGAAGTCGAAGAGCACGAAGTGGCCTCGCGGTTGGCTACGGGCATTCAAAATGTGGCCCGGGAATGGAGTTCTGGGAGGTCAAAGAGCACGTAGTGTGTGACTGTTTGCTTAAAACTAGCCCGGCCCTCGCCTGTCCGGCTCCCGCCCAGACCCCCCTGGGGAGTCATCAGATGCTCTCTTTTGACCCCATTAGAAACCTATCAGTCTTCGTTGTTAGGTATTTTTTCCAAAAAGAGAGTTCACCAATGACAGCAACAAACACAAACACACAAAGCATCAACAGCAACATCAACAACGACAATACCAACAACAACAACAACAACAACAACAACAACAACAACAACAACAACAACAACAACGACAACGACAACGACAACAACAACAACAACAAGAACAATAACAAGAACAACAACAACAACAACAACAACAACAACAACAACAACAACAACAACAACAACAACAACAAAAACAACGACAACAACAACAACAACATCGACAATGACGACAACACCACCAGCAACAGCAACAGCAAAAACGACGACGACGATGACAGCGGCAATACGAACACCAATCACAACAACAACAGCAGCATCAACAACAACCACAACAACAGCAGCAGCAGCAGCAACAACATCAGCAACAGCAACAACAACAATAGCAACACCAACAACCACGACAACAACATCAGCAACGACATAAACGACATCACCAGCCTAAATAACATAATAGCAAACCAAAAAACAACAACAACCACAACAACAACAGCAGTAGCAACAGCAGCAACAACAGCAATAACCATTACAGTAACAGCAGCAGCAACGACAAACACAACAACGACGACACCAACGACACCAGCAGCAGCAACACCTACAGCAACAACAACAACAACAATAACGACAACAACAACTACAACAACAGCAACAGCAGCAACCGCCACAACAACAGCAACAACAGCAGCAACAGCAACACAAAACGCATCACCAGATGTTCAGGGGCTAAGAGATCCGACGCCACGATTTCTTCACACGATTCGCTCCCCGGGGCCAGCTTGTCCTCACGAATAGGGGAACAAAAAAATTACAGAAACATAACAACTCGGAAGTCCGCCGGATTTCTCAGATCGGATCGGCGCTGGCGCGCTCCGGCCCTCGCCGCGCTGCCGGGGTCCAGGTCGGCCTCGCGCTCGCGTCCCGAGGCGGCTTGCGACGGGCCCCCGAGGATGCGCCACGAAATTACGCTACCGAAGAACCCCACATACTTATATCATGGCTGGAGTGATGATGGCTGAAATGACGCATGTGAGAATGATGTTGGTGGCCGTTGCCCCGCCATACCGTTAGTGACGCCACTCAGGAGGAGAGGTGGGAGAGGAGAAGCGCCGCGCCAGCCACACTTTGCGAGCCCGAAACAAAGAGCGACCGCACCCCCAAGGCACCCCCTTGTAGGCCACGCCTGCTAGGCCCTGCGACATTGGCGCGTATAGAGAGACCACCCCCTGCGCACCCCCGCTGGCGTCGAGAAAGTGCCACTCCTGCTAGGCCCTGCGACATGGGCGCGTATAGAAAGACTACCCCCTGCGCACCCCCTCTGGTGTCGAGAAATTGCCACCACCCCCTGCACACCGCTGGTGTCGAGAAAGTGCCACGCCTGCTAGGCCCTGCGACATTGGCGCGTATAGAGAGACCACCCCCTGCACACCCCCGCTGGTGTCGAGAAAGTGCCATGCCTGCCAGGCCCTGCGACATGGGCGCATGTAGAATAAACGCCCCGCTCGGTGACCATTCCCTGCGCACCCCCTACGCGGTCGAGAAAGTGCCACACCTGCCACGCCCTGCGCCATGGCCCGCATAGACGCCGCGCTCGGAGACCACCCCCTGCGCACCCCCTACGGGGTGAGGAAAGTGCCACACCTGCCACGCCCTGCGCCATGGCCCGCATAGACGCCGCGCTCGGAGACCACCCCCAGCGCACCCCCTACGAGGTCGAGAAAGTGCCACACCTGCCACGCCCTGCGCCATGGCCCGCATAGACGCCGCGCTCGGAGACCACCCCCAACGCACCCCCCTACGAGGTCGAGAAAGTGCCACACCTGCCACGCCCTGCGCCACGGCCCGCATAGACGCCGCGCTCGGAGCTTTGATGTGCTGTGCTGTGCTGTGCTGCGGGTGAGGGAGGAAGGACGAGGAGGGGGAGGAGGAGAAGGAGGTGGGAGTCGCGGGCGCGGCACGTGCGAGAAGAACACCAAAACCCCACCAAACATGTGGGGAAAACTAGATGGGCGATTTCGGGAACCCTGAGCCAAAAAACGCGTTCCTCTCCTGGGGGCGCATCGTGTGCTTCCGCCGCCTTCCGCCGCGCTTCTGCCAGCCTCCGCGGGCGGAGGCGGCCTCGTTCTACTTCCGCCGCCCTTCCGCCGCCGTCCGCGGTGGAAGAGATGACAGCTCCTTCGATCCTCGAAGGCAAGGCTTTTTTTTGGAACGCCCCATATAGACAGACACCCTCCGACGAATTGTGCACGTGCCTTCTGAGAGGGTAGCGGTGTGTGAAGCCGCCGGCTCTCAGTGGAAAGTGGAACGCCGCCGCCCTCCCCGAAGGCCCAGGAGGATTCCATTGGATGGTGTCTGTGAGTATATACATACACATCTATGTTTATATTATATATATATATATATATATATATATATATATATATATTACGAGGTTCCCCAGAGGGGCCTGCGAGAGGCCTCCGAGAGGCTCCCCGATGGGGCCGCAGGGAGCCTTCCAGAGACCCTGCGTCCACGGGCCGGGCAAGGTGGCGGGATGGGCCGAAGACCACTGGACACCACACAGAACAACAGCAGTGCGCGCACCGTCTGGGAGGAAGCGCCCACGCGCACCGTCTGAGACGCCCCGCCTGCATCTGAGAGGAGGAGGAGCAGCAGAGCAGAGCAGCACGAACGATTCGATGACGTTTGACTGCCTATGTAAACGCACCCTGGGGGCCCTCGGGAAAACCGAAACCGATCACTCCACCCACGTTCATTCCAGACAACTCCTTCCTGTCGCACTTCGCAACGTATCAGTGGGGCAAGCCGGGCGTTTCGGGTGAGACTTCCTCACCGTGTAAGATCACGAAGCCAGGCATTTGCATCCTTTGCAACAATGGAGGGGATGGTGTTCAAGCTATCACCATAGCGCCGCGCACATTCGTCGTGAAAGCCTGCAATAACTACACACATAGAGGAGGGTGAAACTGTTGCTCTCGTCGTGCTCTCTCTCGTCAAGATGTTCCGACAGCCCCAGCGTGGTGCACATTCAGACTAAAACGTACCACCAGGTACTACAAAGAAGGACGGCGGCCCGTCTTCAAAATGTGTTCTCGTCTGAGTGTCGCGCACATTCGTGTAAAGTCGTGGGTGTCTTTTGCAAAAGGGGTTCTCGCTTGAGTCGTCTCAGACATGGATATCAGGCATACATGTATACATGCCCTGCGGTGACGCCGTTCAACGAATGGAGGACGGTTCCGTTTCAAAGCTGGGATATCGCCCGCGACTCCTGGGGTCGTTTCTCATAGCAATCACAATGTGCGACGGCTACACGGATGGAAGGCGGCTTTCTTCTCAAGCTTCACGGGTGTCCTTGAATGGCAGACCCACGTGGCTCTCGCGTTTCAGGGGGGGCTTCCGAAATAAAAAGAAACGCGCGCGGAGAGCTATGATGATTGCACCTGGAACGGGAGGGTGCATTGCAGCACCGCTGAAGCACCCTGAGTTGACTCTGATCCGCCTCCTCCTCCTCCTCCTCCTCCTCCTCGACCCTCGTCCCACGCATCGCTCGACCAGGCCTCCTACCCTCCTCCCCATTTCCCCCCTCCCCCCAACCCCACCCCACCCACACCTCCCCTTCCTCACTCCTCCCTACTGCCCCACGTCCCCCCCTCCCGCCCTCCGCCTCCCCCCCTCACTCCCCCCCTCCTCCCTCCCCCCCTCTCCCCCCCCCTTCCCTCCCGCAACGCCTCCCTCCTCCGACGACGTCGACGACGACAACGACGAAGCCGCCGACAACCCCGACCGTGGGGGGGCACGAAGAGATACCGATTAGGGGATCCACTACAGACTTGACTTACCCCAAAATTGATTTGTTCGTCGAAGCCATGAGAAATGCGTAGAACGCGCGTAGATCTACGAACCTTCTACGTATGATTCGACGAGAGAATCAATTTTAGAGTACTTAGGGTATGTAGTCGATGCCCTACTCGAACAAGTTGGCCCTAGGACAGAAAAGCATCCCTCAGGAACCTGAGACCCTCTGTCGGCCAGAACACACAGAAAATCCCAGGGCACAGTCCCCAGGAGGCACAAGGGCATCCAGCAACACACGAGCACGATCGGGGATCTTCTGACCCGGGTCAATTAAAACCCAGGTCAATCAGGCCTGCAAAATCCTGCAAGATCCTGCATCCAAACCCGGGTCAATGCGAAAGATCCTGCAAGATCCTGCAGGATCCTGCACCCAAACCCGGGTGAATGCGACCCTTGCCCTGCAGGATCCTGCAAGATCCGGCGCTCTGGCTGACCCCCGTTTGCATTGACCCCCGTCTCGAGGCTCCCGACACGAGGGCACCACCCCCGGACCGGCCTCGATCTCGCACCTCGGTCCGACTGTACCGCTGCTTCCTGGACCTCTCCCCGACCTCTCCGCAGGGGCAGCGGTGCGAGGCATGGGGCAGCGGTGCGGGCGCCTCGGGCCGTCTCGGGACGGTCTTTGGAGCTTCTGGGGCCGTTTTGGGCCGTTCGCAGCCCGCCGTTCTCCTCCTCCTCCTCCTCCTCCTCCTCCTCCTCCTCCTCCTCCTCCTCCTCCTCCTGCTCCCTCCTCCCTCCTCCCTCCTCCCTCCTCCCTCCTCCCTCCTCCTTCCTCCCTCCTCCCTCCCAGAAGCCTTTCGAGAAACAGTTGGAAAATCAATGATCGTTGCCTCTTGGCGCCCTCTTGGGAAGCCTCTTTTGTCAGCCCTTTGGGGACTCTGCTCTGGCCAAAACGGCGGCGGCGGCGGCGGCGCTGCGATCCTCGTGGCGCCCAGCGACAGCTCCCCCCCGGGGCCGCGCGAGCAGGCGGCGCGCAGGGCGACGCTGCGGGAGCGGCGGTCCAGGGAGGCGAGGCAGACCTGGGCCGAGCATCGCTCGCACGATGCCCGTCCCCACCGGCCCTGGCCCTGGCCCCACTGGCCGAACGACGCGCCCCCGTCGGGACGTGCGATCCTCGCGGGCTTCGCGGGACACGTCCCACCTCGGGGGTGGGCCGGCGGGGCCGAGGTACCATGGCCCCGTGGGGATGGAGATCGGTTCAACGAAACCGGTGGGCGGGGAGCGGATCTCGAGGATGTCGCCCCCGCCTGGCAACAGGCAGACCGGAATGGGCTTGGGTACCCATCGGTCGGAAGAAGTAGGTAGAAGCATAAAGTAGGAAGGCGCTGGAAATAGATTGGGTTTCCGCCCCGCCTCCTGAAGAGGAGGGAAGAGGGAAAACCACTCGGCTCTTGAAGTAGGCAGGCGCTGAAAGTAGATTGGAATCTGGGAGTCCAAAAATACCTGCGTTCAACGAACGATGGGTGGGGTCGAGCATCGAATTTGTCTGGCGCGTGAAGACCTCGCTGCACCTCCAAGAGGAGAGAGCTCCAAGAGCATCGGCGGGCTTGCGGGCGAGGGTCGGTCCTGGGCGGCCCCGGGCAGACCTGACAGGATGATTCGGCGGTCGGAGACTTCAAGGCTCGAGGGGTCCAAGGCTCGCGAGGGTCGAGGGTGTCCAGGGTCGAAGATTTGTTTCAAGGGTTGAGGTTCTTTAGGTCGCCTGGCCTCGCGCAATCGCGTCTCGCGAAGCGCGAGGCCAGGCAGACCCGGGCGGCGGGGGCAGCGCCGACCAGAAAATCTGCGTCGCCCTCCGAAACGTGAGCGTCTTTATTCGGCGTTTCGACACTGGGCGGAGGGAGGGGGAGGGGGGGGGGTCTGGCTCTGGACCTCTGCTTGATGCGGCTGTTTGCCACAGTGCGTCCCATGGGGGAGACCCCATCTGCTTGGAGCAGGCGCCAAAAACAACCAAGAACTCCTCCATGGGGGGGGCGAGGGCCCGCGCCGATCGGCAAAGCAGTGCATAAGATGACGATCACACAACCAGAGCGCGTGTGATCGGCTGTGTTCTCACGTGTCTTCAGTGATCGGTGTCGCTCGGACGCGCGTGCGTATTGCCTCTGCCGCGCTCGAGCGGATCATGCGTTTGGATCATGCGTTTGGAGGGGGGCTCTGCTCGAAGATTCAAGATCGAGGATCGAAGTTTGACCGTCTGGAGCCCGTCTTGTGCCGCCGAAGGAAGCCTCCAAGCATCAGCGGCTTTGAGAATCGAGGGCCGTTCAGGTACAAGAACATGTGCTGTTCGACTTTTCGGGACCGTGTGAGGCCTCCGCCAAGCGACAGACAGACCTGAGCGGGAAGGAGGGAGGATCGACGATCGAATGAATTGGGCGTTTGGGTCCTTATTGCGCTTCCAGGCTCCTCAACTCCTGGGAAGTGGAGTTCTCCACCCCCTATCCTCCTCAAACTACTCCTACTATTACTCCGTCCCTTGGTTCCTCATGAGGTGATTCCTGCTCCTCCATCCCTCTTCCTGAAAAGAACCTCGACACCAGACGTCCCCGTACACCATGCCAGGCGTTTCGCCTGGGACTTCCTCGCAGCTTACGACTCAGAATCTAAAAACTGCAGCACTTCCAAGTATGGAGAAAGGGCGGTTCTCAAAATGATGCTCTCGCTCGAGACGTCCTCAGAGTCTGCGACCCGAAGCCCACATTGTGGGGTTAGTAGTTTCACGGATGGCGGACGGCCCCTTTTCGAACTAGGAATATCGTTTGGGAGCTCCTCAATGGCATGTAGTTTCACGGATGGCGGACGGCCCCTTTCCAAACTATGATTCTCGCTTGAGAACTCCTCCATGGTATGACCAGAACACGGAAGGTGTGCAGCCCTTACACGGAAGGAGGGCAGACCGCTTTTCAACACGTGGCTACGGCTCGACAGTTCCTGGAAGCATCGTACCTCTCTGCAGCTCGTCCAGCCAGAGGGATTCGCGACGGACCATGTGCAAAACGGGATCCCACACTCAGGTGAGAACGCTTCCACCTCTGAGTGGCCTTTTCTTCCCCTCCCCCCCCCACGCGGCCGCCCGCTCTGTCCTCTTCCCCCTCTTGCATGCTGGCCAATGCGCTTTTCGGTGCCCCCGTCTAGCTCTATCGCTGGTGCAACCAGATCTGCCTCGCAACCGACGGAAAACGTGCAAGGCGGGGTCTGGCAGGAACGGCTGGGCTGCCAGGCGCTCGTCAGTCAGGGCGGGCGCTGCTCGTAGTGTAGTGGCGACACATGTCGGGACTTCTGGCGAGGGGGCGTGGAACGGAATGGTGCGTTGCAGCATCGTAGACGCATCATATGTCTCACCATTACTACAATCCTCATCGTCGAGCTTGTCATATCCATCAGCACCAGCATCCTAACTCTCATCATCGGTATCACCACCATCATCGGCTATATCAACACAATCAGAATCATAATCAAGATAAGCGTGCGTGTCATCAACCTTCCCGCTCCCTCCTGCACATACCTCCTCGTCCCTCCGCATCCTGCGTCTCCCTTCCTACTCATCCCCCGTCACTCGTTCGTGTGATGACCCCCCTATTCGCACAAACAAATGTGCTGGTAGGGCAGGCAGCGCGATTCGCCTGAGACCTCCTCACTCCTCACCACTTAAGACCCTGAAACTAGACATGGCAACCAACTACAAGGACAGAAGGCAAATTGTATTCAAACAGCTGTTATCGCCTTACCGCTACGCGCGGTGCAAGTCGGGTGGCTCTCAAAATGCGGATGTCGCCCCAGCGCCGCGCAGATGCATGTTACACTGGATCCTGTCATACTGGGGTTTTTACTTGCGACTTCTTCGCACGAATCGAAGCAAAGACTTTGAACATGTGCCACAACTACATGTATGAAGGCGGCTCCTCTTCATATGGGTCGCTTGATTGAGGCCCTCGTGCACGCTGTGACCAGACGTCCAATAAAGCACGTGCATCAGCTACATGGATGTAGGGTGGCCTTGTCTTCAAAAGGGAATATCGCTGGATACGTATGTTGTATGGGTGATCATACCCCGTGGCACGTCTCAGAACTAGCCAGCTGTGAGCGGCTCCTGTTCGAAGCGAGACCACCGATTGAAAGGCATGCCAAAAATAAATAGGACTTCTGGCAGTGACGTAAGACAAAGTGAGGAACGGGAGGTGGCTGATGCACCCAGGGTTCCCTATGGATGTCCTTTTTTCCTTCCTCGGGACTTCGGGACTCTCCCCTGGCAGAACAACCACCAGGATCTCCTCCGCGCATGGATCCGCACGGCCCCCAGCGGCTACAAGGCTGCGCGGGAGCGCGGGGGCACTGGGGCAGGAGGAGCGGGAGGGAAGCTGAAGGGGAATGAGCACCTCCTAGGGCCCAGGATGGCCCTGGCCTGGCACGGTGGTGGTGTATAGACGCCGTCGTCGGATGCCACCCCGGATGCCATCCCTCCCCGCCACCGGGGACCTCGAGGCGCGCCGCGGAGAGAAAAGCAGGGGCGTGTCCAGCACAGGGGCGGGCCCATCCGAGACGAGTGACGAGAGAGGTGGGAGGGCACGCAGTCTCCCTGTGAAGGCTATTGAGGAAGGCAGTTTCACTGCGCGCCCCGCGGGACTGGACACCACTCAACAGGATCCCCCAGGAGCGCAGCAGAGTGGCGACAGCCACACGCTTGGCATCACCCAGGGAGGGCGAGGTCTCATGTGCTAGGTCTGCGTGGGGCGCCAATCCGTTGGACCCTCCAATGACGCGGCAAAGTTGCGACGGGCGCACCCTTGGCACCTGGGCCTGCGTGAGGCGCTACCCCGCTGGACACCGCAGGGCACGGCAATGTGGTGACAGGGGCACGCCTGGCAGCACGCAGAGAGGGCGTCACCCCGCTGCCCCCCCAGGGGCGCAGCAAGGTGACGACGGCTGCACGCCTCGCAGCACCCACGAAGGGTGCGGTCTCACGGGGTCTGCGCAGGGCACCATCCAGCTAGACACCGGGAGCCAGGAGCGCAGCAAGGAAGCGGCAGTTGCACGTCTGGCAGCACAAAGAGGGGGAGGCGTGGGGCACCACTCCACTGCAAATGTCCCAGGGGGTGCAGCAAAACGGCGACAGCTCAATCTTGGCTGAGCGGCCGGGGAGTGCGAGGGGGTCGAGGAGGGGACCCATGGAGGCTCCAGAGGTCCGAGGGCGCCCCAAAATCCTCGACCCTCGAATCGACTCCCCCAGGGCGCCGCGCAAGTGTCCCTGGACAGTCTCCACAGAGACGCGCCCTCCTGGCGCGGCGGCTGCCAGATCGGCGAAGCCTCTCGGCTCCTCCACCTCGCCGCGGGCGCCAGCACTGGCCATGGCCCCAGCGGCCCGAGCGCTTGGGCCAACTTCGGGGGAGAGGGGGCACGGACGCGGGGCCAGGGCGGCTGACCCTGAGATCCGACGTTGCGAAACATAAGTGCAACATCGAAGACAACCACGACCAGACCCCTGGACCACATCTTTCTGCATCATCTGTCGAGCCGGATCCATCTGAGGGTCCCGGGGTCCGAACGCCCAGATCTCACGGCTGGGTCGAGGTCGGTGGGCTGGGTCGCCTTCCTCGGTTTCGCGCGGCCGGGCATACGCCGCGCTGGACCGCGTGGATAGCCCTCCTGGGATGGCTCGCGCGCACCGCCCGCCGGCAAAGGGTGCCAGCACAGAGCTCCTCACCCAGGCAAGGATCGCTGAAGAGAAGGGGCGCGAGAGAGAGCAGCACGCATGCATCAGACGCCTCCTCCTCCTCCTCCTCCTTCCTCCTCCTCCTCGTCCTCCTCCTCCTTCCTCCGCCTCCTCCTCCTCCTCCTCCTCCTCCTCCTCCTCGCTCGCTGGGCGGGCTGCCGCGCCCCGATCGGCGACTGGTGGCCGCTTCGAGTGCCGCTGATGCTTCAGGGCCGAAATCATTTCGTGCGCCAGGCCGGCCCTCCTGACCGGGAAGTGAGGATCGAGAGGATCGAGGTCTCCTGGGGCGTCTGGAACCCTTCCCGTGCCGATACCTCCTCCTCCTCCTCCTCCTCCTCCTCCTCCTCCTCCTCCTCCTCCTCCTCCCTCTCCTCGAGCGGGTGGGCGGATCCAACTCGCAGGTGGGAAACATCGCCGCGGCCTCGGGCCCCTCGGCCGCGCTCCAACGGGTGCGGGGCGCTGCTCCGCACAGCGCCCCCGCGGAGGACGCACCCACGCGGCCGCGCACCCGTGGGACCCCCGCCCCGAAGCCCGGCAGGCGAGGGGACACGGACACGGACACGGATCGAGGCTCGAGAACAGCATGGTGCGTCCGGGGGGCCGCGTCTGGCACGCCCTCCTCCTCCTCCTCCTCCTCCTCCTCCTCCTCCTCCTCCTCCTCGTCCCCGTCTCTCCTCCTCCTCCTCCTCCTCCCTCCTCCTCCTCCTCCTCCTCCTCCTCCTCCTCCTCCCTCCTCCTCCTCCTCCTCCTCCTCCTCCTCCTCCTCCTCCCCCCCCCCTCCCCTCCCCCCCCCTCCCCTCCCCTCCTCCTCCTCCTCCTCCTCCTCCTCCTCCTCCTCCTCCTCCTCCTCCTCCTCCTCCTCCTCCTCCTCCTCCTCCTCGCTCCGCCTCGCTCGAGAACAGCATGGTGCGTCCGGCGGGCCGAGGGCCGACGCCTCTGGGGCGCCGGGGCCCCGTCGGGTGCCGCGCCGTCGCTCCCCCGCGGGGCGGCTCCCGCGCTGGAGCCACCGGCCACAGTGCTGCCGGGGGCGCCCCCTGGGCCGCAGGGGCGCCCCCGGTTTCCCGGGGAGGCCCGGGTGGTCTCCAGAGCACCTCTCTCGCGAGGCTGGGCCGGGGGGGGGCTCCAGAGTGGCGCGACAAGGTAGGGACACCTTCAGGCAAGGACCACTTAGGAGTAGGAAGAGGAGAAGGAGGAGGAGGAGGAGGAGGAGGAGGAGGAGAAAGAAAAGGAGGAGACCAAACTTGCGATGCCCCGATGTTTCGACACGGCGCCCCCGGAGGTCCCGACCCGCTCCCTGGGGGCAGTCGCCCGGAGTCGCTTCCTGACGGTCCCGCGGCCCCGCGCGGGCCCCCAGCCCTGATACTTTTCAGCACTCGCCATCGCTCAGACGTCCACTCCCTGTGCACCTGTGCACTTCCGTAGATCGGTGGTTGTACTTTCCCCCCTGCTGATCCACGATGCTCCTCGATGGCAGTCGCCGAAAAACACACGCACACGTCCGATCGGTGCCAAAAACACGAGGCGAATACGTCCGGATTATAGCCGCACCCGACGCAAGCCCGCGCGGGCTGGCGGGGAACCGACAGCTCCGGCGGCACGGGGAAGCGCCAGAGGACGACCCGGCTCCGCGCGCTCCGCTGGCGGCCTCGCAACGCGTGCGCGACGCGCGCGATCGCGCGACGCGGCTGCCGTCGTCGGCGCCGCTGGCGGGGCCGCCGTCGACGTCGGCGGGGGAAGTCACCGTCGGCGTCGGCGTCGTTGCCGCCTCCTGCGAGGGGGGAGGAGGAGAAGGAGGAGGAGGAGGAGGAGGAGGAGGAGGAGGAGGAGAAGGAGGAGGAGGAGGCGGAGGAGGAGGAGGAGGAGGAGGAGGAGGAAGAGGAGGAAGAGGAGGAGGGAGTGAGAGAAAGACCAGGAGAAAGAGGAGGAAGAGGATCATCTGGATTTCCGACAAGACATACATTAAAAAATGCAACCGCGAATATAGCATTGGAAGCTCGTCTGCGCGGCCGGAAACGATGTCACACACACACACACACACACTGTGGCGATGCCCAAACACAACGACATAAAAAAGCAACCGCGCGGCCAGCAAACTTACAAGGCTGAACGTTCGCCTTCTTTCAGCAGGCCCAGGCCGCGATCATGTCCCTCCGCGCAGCCTCAACTCAGATAGCGACACCCCCCAAAAGGTGCCGACCCAAGCCGCCGCCTCAATGAGGTCGGGACCTGGATGCACCAACGACAACCCGGCGGGTTACCTGGCCCGCGTAGACACGGTGCCCACAAACACCCCCGCCAGTCCCCCTGCCCAAGGGCGGCCAGGTGGCACGCACCCACGACCCTCCGACGACTGCAGACTGGCGCACAGCGGACGGGACCGTACCGTGCTACTCGATGCAACCAGCACCACCCGATATCGAGTGGTGCATCCCCGTCGCGGCAGGAGCGACGGAGCCCCGAGATCCTCGACCGCTCCCACCTGGCCGTGCATGGCCAGGCGGCGCCAGCCCCCAGACTGCGGGACTCCGCCCACCCCACCGCGGCGCAAGCTTGGAAAGCCCACGACCACTTCTTGCTTGTCCACCAGGGCCGACCCCAGGGCAGCGACAGGGAGGCTCCCCGTCTGTTCCCCTGTGAAGGGGACACAGTCAGTCGCACAGGTGCCAGGAGGAGGGGGAGTGACTCCGCTGACAGGAGCAAGACGAGGGCAGGCGGCCAAGAACGCGAGAAGAGGGCAACGAGTCCAGATCCATACAGACGCCGACGGCGGACCGAACAATGGCAGCTGATTCGGCGGACCGACAGGCGACAGATCGTTCGGCGGAGCGAGCAGTGGCCGCGTCGCTCCGGCGAGGCCCTCTGCCCCCCGGAGGCGCCGCGGGGCGAGCTGGGCCCACGACGCCGTAGATGGCAGACGGCCTGCGGATCACCGTTCCGAACCCGCTGCAGGAACCTGCAGGGCGCAAGGGGGGTTCGCGGGGGGGCGCGGGGGAAGGGGGGCGGAAGGGGCAGCGCGCGCGCGCGGAGGGACTGGGTGATAGAGCGCCAACGATCAATGGCCACGCGCGCACCGGCCAAGGCCCCGGAATCCAAGGGGAAAAGGCGGGGGGGGGGCGGAGCCCACGGGGGCTCGCCCCCATCCAACAGAAACAGGAGCAACGGCGGGGGAAGCGCGGCAAGTCTGGGCGGGGCAGTAGGGCGAGACAGGCTGCGCAACGGGTCATCTCCACCAACACATGGATATCCAGACTTGAGTCTGTCTGGGCCCTGCTGGCAGCGCTCGGTGGCGCTCCGAGCCCTGAAGAGAGCCTCGAGATACGCGACAAACACAACGGGCGGCGCGAGCACGGCCGCTTTTGCAACACCAGAACCCCTCAACCATTCTGGGCCATTGGAACCGCTGAAACCAGCGGCCACCATTTCCGCGCACGCGGCAAAATAAAGCTGGAGTACGGGGCCGAATGGACATCGCGAAGAGCCAGGTCTTCAAGCTTCCGCCGAACGCGCGTCGGGGTTAATGTTTGGAGAAAGGCGGGGAATCTCGTGAGTTCGCTCATTCCGTGCATAAGCGCGCGCGAACACATAATCAGGGTACGACCGACTGCGCATGCACACTGTCACATGCGCGTCACTTTCCAAGGCGGCCTCCAGCCTCTGACCAGGCTTCGGGAACAGCTTGGAACCCAGCGCGGGCCGCAGTTTGGCGGCTCGGGCGCCAGCGCGCAGATCACCAGTCTCGACGGGCAGGCCGACCGAACGAAGCCGAAATTATGGCCAGGGGACAGGCATGACGAGATGAACAGGCGCACAACTGGCGAGCTTCTACTCGGCCTCGATGATCCACGCGCCAGGGCTGAACCCCTGACAAGGATAGAAGGGGGCCGAAAGAACATATCGGATATGGGCGACGATGCCGGAAAGGCGATCTTCCCCCCTGAATTGGACACGCTGGGCCCAGTTCCATCCGTTTCTTCGCAGCGCGGCGCCTGGATAACTCGAACTCGCCAAGGCCAAGAATAAATCCCAGGCACTTGCCTTTCGTCTGGATCTCGAATCTGGCAACGTGGAACCCCTCGTCAAGAAAGCACTGGGCAGCGTTGCCCCGGAGGTAAAAGGAGATGAGAACAGCGGCGCACTTGGAGATATCGATGGGGAAGCCCGAGGGCAGCCGCACTTGCATATCGCTTTCGCCGCATACTTCAGCGCTTCAAGGACGTCGGCGCTGGCGAGCCTGAGTTCGCCAGCGCAAGCGCGCACTTGAGCTGGCAGCGTCGCGCGGATTAACTCCGAAAAGAGCAGCAGCGAGCCCAGGGTTGAGAGAATGCGCTATTGTTTAACCCCACGCCTGGCCACGCAGGAGAATCAGAGGTGGCCTGAAGCCTGCGAGGCACCCCAGGTTACTCTTGGTTTCTTAATAAGCGTGGGGGGTACCCCTCCGACGGGGGTCAACCCCGCCTCGTCGTCGCGCCGCGACGGGGGTCGCAGCGCCTTCGGCGCGCGGTGGTTGCCCGCGACGGGGGTCGATGCGGGGCCGTCGGCAGGGGTGGCGCCCCCCCGACGCGTATCCAACAACTCGGAGAAAACAGTTTTATGGCTACGACCGTGGACTCAGGGGGGTCGAAGGCCCTCAGGACAGGGTAAATCCACGAGTGGCAGACAGAAGTGAAGGCGACTTCGAAGTCGAAAAAAATCATGAGCTTTGTCTGCTACAACTGCAGAGATCAGCTGGACGATCATGGCAACGATGGGCTTCTTGTCTGCGCTCGAGATGGCAATTGGTTTCGTTTCCTCTGGTTTGTTGGTGATATCGCCAGGCTTGGGGTCATCGCCGCCCGGTGACACAACAAGCCTGGCGGCGCTGAAGCTGTCGGACGCTGCGCGACCCGCGTGGCGATGTCGCTAAAAATCAAAAAGAGATCCCTGGGCAACAGGACCAGCTGCTCTCCGGGCGCTGTAGCACCTGGGGCGGAGTTGGCTTTCATATGTGGGAGATCTAGAGATCTGTCGAACGCAAGGGCCCTGGGGACCCTCTGGCGGGCGGAGGTGGCGAATTGGAAGGGGTCAGAGGGGAGGGGGGGGGGGGGGGGGGGGGGGGGGGCAAGGGAAAGAAGAGAACCCCCAGCGGACTGGTCTTCAGATCCCAACGACACCCCACAGAGCTCGGTGTCGGGAGACCCCTTCGGTGCCGACGATGCGCGCGCGAGATGCCGCCCGCTGGTTAGACTGCCAGGCGCATACCTGCCGCCACACTCGAGCGGCAATCGAAGCTGCAGACGGGCGCCAAGCTGCACGGATCCCCACATCTTGAGCATTGTGCTCGCGCCTATGAACAGGCCGAAGTGCGGGCGACAGCCAGCCCAGCACGCCCCCTGCCTAAGATCCTCACTGTAAGAAATGCCGAGGGCGGAGCACGCCGTCGGAACCCTCCGAGCGGTCAGCGCGATCCCAGAGCGGCGGGCACGAACAAGACGACGACAGCACGCAATATTCTCAGGGTTCGAGTCGGCACGAGTTTCGAACATCTCAGTCTCAGAATTCTGAGCGGACGCGCTCATCACATCTTTGACATCGAGCAACATGGTCGGTAGTACAAGACCTCGCACACGTCATCGGCGGACGCCCTTGCGGCCATTGACCCCGAAGTTACACTTGGAGCTCCAGCGCGGGAATTTCCGAACGAGGTCGCGCACATTGGTGTAGATCGAGCTGAATGTCCTTGCCTTCTGCCTCGCGTGTAACAATAGGTCTCCTCGGATCCGCAGCGGGTGGATGGCGTTGCCGCGGAAGTCCTTCCACATCATGTCGATAACGTTGGCGCGCCTGCTGAAGTCTCCGGCCGAATCGCACCTCGCACGCGTCAGCTTGTAGGCCTGACTCACGACGTGGTAGATCACCTCCACTCGCTCATCGACCAGCTTTCCGACGTCAGGGTCGGGGAAGGTCTCCGCGAATTTCGCGAGAGGGTGGCCCGTCGTCGTAGGCCGGGTCGATGGGGACCTCGACCCTTCGAGCTTTGCCTCCGTCGTGGGAAAGTGCTCGAATAGAACTTGACGCGGTGCTGCCCGTAGCATATTGTTGAGCCTCGAGCTGGGAGATTGTCTCGGCCTGTTCCTGTAAAACTTTCTCTCGCTGGCCCAGCTTGGCACCCGGGGCATCGACGGAGTTATTCACCGGGCGCGCTGCTTGCGTGATCCTGGAGTTCATAGAGTCCAAGAGCTCACTGCTCTGCTTGGCGAGGAGTTCTTCCATCATCAATTCCATGGCATCCACCCCAGCCTTGGCGGAGGCGCGAAAAATGATCAAAACGGCGGGAGAGATGGGCCCCTGCCGCAAGGCAGCTCACAGGGGGATCGAAAGTGTCCGCCAGCCTTTGACAGCTGGATGACACCGCAAAAGGAGCTGCCTCACTCGGCCTCGTGCCCGCCCCGAATCTTGAGCCAAAATAGCACCGGGTGCCAGGGGGGAGGGGGGGGGGGGGGGGGGCGCGGAGGGCGAGGGGAGAGCAGGGCAAGGAAGAGGGCGAAGGGAAGGCATTCGGCGGCACTCGAGGACGAGGGGGGCTTCGCAACCTCCTGCAGACAGCCCTGGATGGGGAAGAGAAAGTTCCTGAGGCATGCAGAACCCCCGCGGGAGCCTCCAGGCACCTCAACTTGTGGAGGGCTCCAGAGACCACTGGAGGACTCCAGGGGGAGTGGCTCACGTGGAGGGGGGGGCGAGCAGGACAAAAGCTTGTCTATACCTTAGCGCCAAGAAAACACGAGCTTTTGTGGTCTCCGTTTTCAAAGACTGCGTCTTCAGTCGAGTTTGCCATCGCCTTGCTCTACACCCCCTCCCCCTCCTGGAGCGATGGGGAGGGCGCGAGCAGCACGCAAATGCAATTTCCAATTATTTCGCTGGCAAGTTTAAACAATTCCAATAAGTTCAAATTATTTCTTTGGAAATTCTAAAATTCCAATATTTCTGATCCCCCCCCAGCGGCGCCGGAAGGGCATGGAGGTCACGGGCAGCATGTAAATGCAGATTCCAACTACTTTCTTCGATGTCCAAGGCCCCCAATCAAATTCGAACAAATTCAAATTATTTCCTAAGAAATTTCAGAATCCCCATCTTTCTCAATCTCGCCCCCCCCCCCCCCCCCCCCCCCCCCCCCCCCCCCCCCCCCACCCACCCCGCCCCCGCCCCGCCCCGCCCCGCCCCGCCCCGCCCTGCCCGACCCGCTCGGCGGGGCGGCGGAGCGGGGGGGGAAGGGGGGTTCAAGATTCAGAAAGATTGGGATCTGGGATTTTCCTATGAAATAATTTGGATTTATTTGGATATGATTGAAATAATTGAATTTCCAAAGAAATAATTGGAATTTGCATTTACATGCTGTTCGCGACCCCCCCGCCCTTCCGGGGCGGCTGGGAAGGGGCGGGGGGCGGGGGCAGGCCCGACGGGCGGCGAGGGGGGAGGGGGGGGGCAAGATTCAGAAAGATTGGAAATGGGAAATTCCCAAAGAAATGGTTAAACAATTTAGAAGCTGTTTGGAGTTATTAAATTTCCCCGGAAATCATTTGAATTTGCATTTGCGCGCCGCCCGTGCCCCAACTGTCCTTCCTGGAGGATGGGGGAGGGCGCAGACCTGTGGGCCGGGGCGCGCGCGCGTGCGCGCGTGCGTGGTGGTGGTGGTGGT